ATTTCGGACTGGGGTGGGGGTGGGGAGGTACTTCTTACTAACCGGAGGTACTTAGAACACGCCACTTTCTGACAGAATCCCGATCAATCTGAAACCTGAGGTGACCATCTTCCTCCTTCCAACATCCCAAAACTCAACTTCTTAAAAGGTTGGTTACAGAGTTGGTTCGACTGCGTTTGTAACCATTCAGCTGAATTACATGCCCCTCCCCCATTCCACCCCATCTCACGCCGGAAAGCAGAGCCTATCCTTCGTGCCGACCTAGCCTTCTATTTACAGATCTACAATTGGCTCCAAAAGGAATCTGCGCTCGGAAGAATGACCCAGAAACACAATGCGATCCCCAGTTATAATGGGAAAATTAAGTTGTGAGCTCTCCAGTTATATTGACCATGGAATCGCAAGGCGTTCTGTGCCACCCCTAGGTTCAAGGGGCAACCTAGGAGATGTCGGGACGGTAAACTGTCTGGCATATACAGTGACTGACGTGGGAACTGCGGTAGGACATTTGAAATGGAGGTTTTCTAGAAACTCCGAGATAGATAATTGGTGTAACTGCCCTGTAATTTGAAAGGCAAGATTCGACATCAATATCTTGGAAAAGGTTTCCAGCCAACATTTTTCTGATTAACCGTCATCAAAAACTCCCATATCCGAAATAATCTATTTAATTGATAGTTAACTGAATTTATATTCGAACATTTAAAGTATAAAAAGGCCATTTAAGGATGAATTTATTGGCACTTACACGTAGCTCAAACTCTGCAGAATAATCTCTTCAAGAGTTTCTAAGGCAGTGGTCCTCAACCTTGCAAAGGCTGAGACCCTTTAATATATATAGTACCTCATGTAGTGGTGACACCAGTCTTAAAATTATTTTTGTTGCTACTTCGTAACTGAAATTCTGCTACTGTTATGAATCGTAAATATCTGTGGTTTTAGATGGTCTTAGGCGACCCCTGGGAAAGAGTTGCTCGACTCTCAAAGGGGTTGAGACCCATAACTTGAATTCGAAATGACTACTGCTTATATTGATAGACCTGGGCCACTTGAAAAGGAGTTTCACATCCGAATTTTCCATTTCCACCTTCTTCCCCGACACCAACTTCCTAGTTAAAAACTCCTCACCCTTTTTCTTCAATCAACTTTTTAAATTTAAAGAATGATAAATTCTCTATTAGAAGAATTGATAATCTTCATCATTAATCATGAATCTCCTTTGTGGAGTAGAAGTTAATGCCCTTGCTAAATTTGTAAAAGAGAAAACTAAGGTTTTCCTTCTTTTTCAGTCATTTCCCTTCTTAACATGTGGACGCTAAAAAAAAAAGTATCTGAAATCCAAAGAATATTGTTTTATTCTTGTGATTTATTAAACAAAATGGAAACAGAAAACTAGGATGGTATTTGTTGGTTCTCAATGGTCCAAAATGAGAAGAAAAACCTCATTCAGGTCAGCTAACCTGACAGAAACTGACATTATGGTCTCACACACACACACACACACACACACACACACACACACACACACACACACACATTACATATATATAAATAAATAAAACAAGGTCAGATCCAGTTCCAGAGCTTTCCATTCCTACTTGACAGTCAAATTTAAACCAGAGCTGCTCATTGGGTCCAAAAGAAAAGCCAAAGGTTAAGTAGATCCAGGGGTGCCTGCCCCTCCCAGGACTTGGTTGTGGGAATTCACCTCTTCTGGCAATAAAATTTAATTACTGCCCTTTTGTTTTCCCCCTCCTAATTTGCAAACCCATCCGCTTATCTGGAAATTGACAAAATTCTATTATTCCTCCCTGCCCCCTTTTTTTTAGACTGGGAAAGAAAACTTTGTGCATCTTTTGTTTTAGAATGACCCTGTGGTGCATTCTCTCTAAGATTTAAGCAGAGTCCTCTTTTCTTTCTTCCTACGGAGTCATGTGGCTGAGCAGCAGAAAATTATGTCCTGCTTTAGGAAAACAATTGGGCCTTTTCACTGACATATTTATTCAAAACGCCGCTCCGTTCATATGGCGCCTGTCGTTCTGCATTGGGTCTGTCTGTCAGAGGTAACTTTGGTTTTGCCACTTTGACCTCCAGTTATAGTTCCCTGGGTGAGGACTGCTTCATACTTCAAATCCGGGTCTCAGGGCTCTAAGAGGGGAGTCTTTCTCCCTCCTTAATCACACATTGCGACTATTCATTTTAAAAATAATTTCTTCTGAATGGGGAAAAAGCCTATTCAAAAAGGACATTTTTTTCTCCCTTTTTTGACGTGCTGAAAAGGGAGAGCACAGGAAAATGGGCCAAGATGTTGTCACACTTGTGATTTCACCAAAGCAACTACGTTTAGACTGAAAAATATTAAGATTTATCCTGTGCCCACAGAGCAATTAATGCAGAAAACATCTGGAGTTACCTAAAACCAAGAGAATCCAGGAGGCATCTGAATAGACACTTAGAGACCGGAATGGATGGCTGTTAGGGTCGTCTTCTTTTTGTTATTTACACCATGTTCCCTTAGTGGTCCCTAACCCTGATTTCCAGTGTTTATACCAAACAATCCACAGGCCCTGCTACAAACCAACAGCTGGCTGGCATATCAGTTTTCTGTCTTTAAAATTAAAAGGAAAATAAAGGGCATATTCTAACACTTTACAAAGTGAGATTCTGAGGCCATTCTTAAGTTCAAAGGTTTTTGAACTCACGCTAAAAACCTAAGAAGGCTTACAAGGCTGGGGGTAGTTCTGTGGGGAATTTAGTATCAGGTTTTCCTCACTGCCCCACTGTTTTCCTCTGTGTTAGAACAAAGTTGATCTGTACTTTTTTAAAAAACAGCCATTAGGTAAAATGGAAAACTAAGTCAGTGGGATATAAGCTGTTACTTATGCAAACGTGGCTCTCATAGGACTTTCATTTCAAAAGCCTCAGCACAGCATGATACAGACACTTGCTGGAAGTTTTCTAAGAAGAAATGTTTTATTTTTACTTATCCTCAAAAGACATAATTTATAGACCAACGGGAAGGACTGGGATTTGGTGGTTTGTGGGGAACGGAGCCAGTCTGCAGAGCATGGGCAATATTGACACTTGACTAGTGTGGCTCCAAATTGGAGCAAGGGGTTGAAACCCTAGCTGAAACTGATCACAATGAGCTCTGATTGCCCTGCTTACAAAAATAAGACACTGGAATTTCTGCAACCCTTTTGTCAAATGCCTTTGTTTACTTTGTCTAATGCAGGTTTCTTTGATTAGCTAAACCTTGCTGTTATCAACACTTTTTGCTTATCGGCTTGCCCTGGGCAAGTGACACATTCAGCACCAGCTCCCCCCAGATAAAGCAAATCCCTTGTTTAACTTGTTCAAGAACAAACAAAGCTTTCCCTCCATTCTTGCAACCCAACAGACAGGTTAGGAAGGCTAATTGCAAACTGGAGAATTTCCACATGTAACTCTGCTCCGAGAAATCTCTCTCCAGGACAGTTCTTTCTTTCCATTAAAAATGTTTCAGAACAATCCTCTCTAAGAACCCCAAGTTTCACAATGCCCAGGTCCCCGGATCCCAACTAGAATGTGCACATTACTTTAATTGCTATGGATAGGAAGGCTCCGAGTGGATTGGAAAATATTTTTTGACACTAAGTTTCGTCGCCTTCTCCCAAAAGAAAATGAACAAAGAGGAAAGGGTATGACTAGCCAGGAATTTCCTGGAGCTATATTCTTTTGAACTGTATGTGGCTCTATGAATGTTAAGTTGGATGGCCAGGCTATTGGCATCAAATGGTTATTGATTTTCCAGTTACAAACCTGTTGATTTTCTGGCTCAAGAAGCAAGTCTTTTTATCCCCCCCTCCTCTTCCTTCAGAAAAAGTTTCAGAGAGGTCACCTGACATGTGGCCACTGCCCCCTCTACTGCCTTTTTGCCTCTCTTTAGACAAGCCACCACGTTGTTAGGAAAACTCAATTTCTTCTAGTTAAACTTTGACCCCTTTGAAAACAAAGATTTAAAATGTCATTTTCAGGCTAATGCTCCAATGAATTGTCAAATCAAGTACTAAAAACATTTTGATAGATAGATGAGCCATTTATCTAAATCACTGTCAGGGTGGCGAGGCATCCTGCAGGCTCCCACCGCAGCCGGTCCTAGGTAGGATTTCTTAGGACTCCTGGTCATTTCTCAGGCCTGAAGCCCAGCTCCTGTTGACCGATGGAGCCGAGGCACCATGTCAGCATCAGATAACCAAACAGTCAATATTGCTTTTAAAAATGAGACTACCTCATTTAGGTTTCTTTTCCTTGAACTGAAGTCCAAACTCGTGGCCGAATTCTAAGCTATGGAAATAATGAGCGGCCAGACCAAGGAGTGTTGGTGACCAGGAGTTCCCTAGCAAAACAGCAACTTCTTAGACCAACAAAGTGACCCGGAGAGGTGGCAGTGGGGTCAATGCTAACACATATTGCCTTTGCTCAGCGAAGGGAACGAGGGAGGCAGCGTCCTCCTATACCATCCTGCCCTGTGCATTAGGAACTCTGCCTTCACCAGGGTTGCACTCCTTGAAGGGACGATGTCATATTTTAATTACTTATGTACTACTGGAATACACAAGTGTTACTGGGCTTGTGGCTAATCCCAGCCAAGTTAAACACCCTCTGCACCCATTTAACATAAATTGCATGGTGTGTCAGGTTGCACTACTTGAAGAATGTTTCAAAGTCTTGTGGCCACCTTCTATTTTCCCCTCTCTCTGTACATATTTTAAAAACTATTTTCAAGAGAGAATGGGGTGGTGAAGGAGAGCAGGGGCGCGTTTCTAGGGAAGGAAACCTCCAAGAGGGAATTTCAGCAGAGATGGAATCCATATGCACGCCAGCCGATCACACCCTTCAGCATTAAATCATTAAACCCTTTGTCTTGCCACCATCGCACTTTATTCCAGTGTCTTTATTGCATGCAAGAGAGACATTTTTTTTCTTGGTAGAAGAAAAGAAAAAAATAATAAACCTACATTGAGCAGTGTGCCGGTGCTGCCATTCGGCCTGGGTGAATCCACTGAGGCAGGCTTTGAGAGCCTTTTCCTGCAGCATGCAGGAGGACGGGCTCGCGGTGTAGAAATCCAGGATCTGCCCGGGACTCACTGACAGAACATCCATACAGTCAAACATGATCTCTCCGCACCGCGCTCTGCAAAAGTGCTTATCCTCTAGGTGTGGAGGCGAGCGGCACAGAAAAGTCCACGAACTCCATCAAACTCTGCCCCTTTTTTGGCACGTAGGCTGTTGGTCTTTTTCCCAGCCCCGAATCATGAATTATGACAGACAAGCCAGCTAAAAGCCTGTAATTGATCCAAATGATCATTTACCATTTTCCAGGCTCGCTCGGCCGATCCAGCCGGGGCGGGGGGTTCCCGCACCGATCCCAAGTTCTCCCTTCCAGGCGACGCCCGCGCAGGCCTCCGGGAGCGCGCGGGTCCTACCCCGCCGGTGCCCAGATTCGCCCTGCCCGGGTGGCTCGCGTCCTCGGCATCCCAGTCCTGCGGTCGCGGCGCAGGGGAACTCTGGTCCCCCCCTTTGGCAAAGAATAGACCCTCCTGCCTCCGAGCAGCTCACTTCCTACCACTTCTGTCACACGGAATGAAAGATTGAATTGCCTAATATATGCGAGTGAACTTTCGGTGAACCCTTCCCGGGCTGCTAACCTTCAAATGACCCAACCAGTCTGACATCACCAACTCCCAGGATTCTCACAGCGCTTAAAAACTCCCAGCAGCCCTGCAAGAGCCGGCAGCCAGCGAGGCCGCGGCCAGCCGCGCGGTGCTCCCCATGGCTCAGCGTGCAAACAATGCCAGGAGCGCAGGGAGGAGCAGGAGCGGCTGCGGTTTGCGCCTTTTCATCTGCTCAGCCCTGGCGGGGGAGACCCTCGCCCCCATCCCACTTCTGAAATTCCTCCCTGCTCCTCTGTGCCTGGCAAAGCTCTTGCAACTTAGGTATCTTTCCACTTCTGTAAAAGCACTCGGCAAGCCCGGGTCAGCGGCCCCGCTATCGTATCGCCACCCCTCTCTGAAGGAAGCCTCACTGCCCCGGAAACTTTCCATTTCGTTCGCGGTCCTTTTCCTTCATTTGCTTTTTTATCTTTCGTCTTCTTGTTTGTTTATGTTTTTTAAACATCCCCTCCCACCTCCTCCCTCTCTTGGAGGCTCTAGCTGAAGGGGTTTGCTCTGGCTCCGGAGTGCAGGGGGTGGGGGGCACCTTCCGGGATCTACTTCGATTTAAAAAAAATCCCCTGCAGGCTGAAGCACCTGGAGCAGTTATGGATTTGTTACTTCACCAATCAGTCTTTCTCCCCTCCCGGTTCTCTTCTCTGTTCTCCTCTTCTCCCTCACTACTATTCACCCCTTGCAAATCCCTCTCTCAAACACACAGAGAGAAAAGTGAGAGACTGATTGAGAGACCAGCTGGTGTGTGTGTGTGTGTGTGTGTGTGTGTGTGTGTGTAGACATGAGAATGAGTTCTAGATTCTGCTTTAGTGGTTGGAGAAAACATAGTAGCTCTGCCACTGGCTGTCTGGCTGTCTAGGAAGACACTGGTTTTCTCTAGGACTCAGTTTTCTCCTCCGTATAATGGACCAATAATGTGATACTGTCCACAGGATGAAAATACTAACTGTAATTTCTCAGTAAACACACAAAAGAGATATCAACTGCGTCTCTTCCTCTGTTCCAGCTGTGGGACTTCTGCCAGGGACACCCAGACTTGACCAGACCACTGGTTCATAGGTGGATAGACCCATCTATGTCACCTCAGAGCCCATCCAGATGAATGGTTTGCTGTTCCCACAGTCCGTGCCCATGGAGTGTGTTGGTGGCCTCTCCATGAAGCACATGCTCCCACACATAATTAAATGGATATTTTGAAAACCGGGTAAGTATGAGGGTTTTATATTTCTGAAAGCTAGGCTTTGCTTAGACCACCCCTGTCCAATCTCCAGCCTGTTTAAAAAAAAAAAAACAATTTTCAGGTAAGAGGATTTCTTTTCTTCATTTTAACCTGCTTACACTGATTCAGCCCAGAGGAAGGAGCAGGTTTTTAGCTCTTCTCAAAACCCAAAGGCAATTAATTGGTAGAGGTGCAACCAGGCCTGCAGGGCTTTCAAAGGGAAGCCGTCTGCAGCAGTTTCCAAATTCACCTGCTGGATGCAAGGCACAGGAAAGAGGATGTTAGGAGAGGACCAGATGCCTCCTTCCTCCTCTGTCACCTTAGGAATTCTTCCATGGAGAGCTGGCATGGAGACGGGCAGGGAAGCCCATTCCCCCTTTCTGGGCAACGCCAGGGCAGATGCACACAGGCATACAGGGCAGCCTGTCAGGGGCACCCACCCTTCTGAAATGCTTCTCTGACCAGCTGCTGCACAGCTCCGGGGACAGCAAGCGAGCATTTACCACACTCCCTCATGGAGGCAGCGCGCCCCATAAGAAGGTACCCTAAACCTGCAGCTCAGAAGCTGTTTTCACCTCAGCTTTTGCCATTGAAAAGTTGAGTGCTAGAAGGGTGAGATTTCACTGACAGTGTAGGCTGTGTTTTCTCCTTTATGCAGCCATTCATTTTGTAACAGGGTTTTATTATTAGAAACCCTTCAACTACAAAGAAAACACCCATCCTAAGTGAGGAAGCACATGGGAATTTATAAAACAAACACTTAACACACCATCATTGAGCAATCGTAAAGATACAAAACACTGAGTTCTGTGTGGGTTTCTGCTTGGCCCAAGAGACTTATTGCCCCAAATGCTTCCTTAAGCTCTCCAGTTCCCTGGAAACAGAGTCCCTCGTGCTTAGTATTGGAAGTGGAGGGAAAGGTATAGACATAGGGGAGAGGAAGCCGCTGGATTGTGGTATAATGTAAGTTAGAAGTGAGAAAGCTTGGTATCACGGCAGGCGCATGTGTCAGGTGCCCTCTTATAGGAGGCTGCTAGACTTCCTTGCTGATTGTGTCCCTAAGTACAAGGAGGTACTGGTCACAGGGAAGAGAGAGTGAGGCACTGGGGATTGAATCCCGAATTCTGTTCATTGCCAACCCCTTCTAGAAGGGGAGGAACCACTCCCAAACATCTTTTAAAAAGGTACTACTACACAATGCCCTCCCCATCATCTCTCTCTCTCTCTCTCTCTCTCTCTCTCTCTCTCTCTCTCTCTCTCTCTCTCTCTCTCTCTCTCTCTGTGTGTGTGTGTGTGTGTTGCTAAAAGTCCTTCCCTTTGGGAGACCTAAGCCTGTCTAACCCTTCTCTTACAACTAAGGTTTCAAGGACAAACAGGGGCACAAAGTTCACTCTGGGGAACTTTGAGCATCCTGAACTTCCTTACAGAGCATAGGTGAGAGGGTTCCTCCCTACAACATGCTGCTCCTAGAAAGCCTGTACTCCGCAGAGATGAAGGCTGCCCCATAGCTGCAGAGATAGAGCCCACATTCCTATATATGTTAGTCCTTCCCCGAGCTTTGTGCAATCAATGTGTTGTTGCACACAACAGGTGGTAGGAAGGGTGTGGTGACTGTCCCCAGTGCTCCGTGGGGGTGGTGGTGAGGGTGTATTAACAGTCAACCAGCCCATCTGGAATGATCCTTCTGCAAGAGGGCGCAGCTAAATCCCCCAGGATGGCACTTGATTGGCTGAGAGAACAGTCACTCACTCACTTTGGGGGGTGTGGCATGGTGTGTGCCTATGACTGGGAAATTCTTTCTTTGTACAAGGATAATTTACATTTATAATCACCTTGAGATTCTTTTAATTGTAGGGAAATGAACTTGATCAGTATTTAAATCTTTGTGGATGGGATATTATGGGTTCCTTATAATGCAATGGGACTCACTAGTCAATTAATCATTTCTCATCATGGATTAATTACCCTGGCAGCAAGGATTGAGGCAATTAGTAAGTGCTAATTCACAAAGCTGACTCACAAGCTAGCCACATTTCTTATCATTTCTTTGTGGGTAAATCTCATTCTTACTCCATTTGAAAACATGATTCTTCCTCTGAAGTCTTCCGTTTAAAGGTCTAAGGAAAGCATCAAGGATAAATAATGATTCTTTAGATACATATTCATGTGCTTATAATGATTAATGAATACGATAGGAAGTAATTTGTTCACAAGGAAATGTAAATGATTGATACTCACTTTAAATCTGACTTAAATAGTTGGAAGGAATCTTCCTCAATATCCCTTTGTGGGGGCACCTATTGCAATCTGGACCACCTTTTCTGTTTTCTTTGTGTTTGATCAATGGTTTAATAAAAGTTTTCCCAATGAACAACCAGACAACAAACAAAAACCAAAAAAAAAAAACCGCAAAAGTTTGAGAGCAAAATTCATTTTGTTTGAGAATCACCGTGTGTTTGTCCGTGTGACACTGCGCATTTGAAAACCATAATCATAAAACAGGAATTTATAGCCAGGGTTCAGGGTCTACATCTGTTTCTCTGGTTTTGAAGCAGCAATTACCCACTGGACAATCCTGAGCGAAATGCCATGAATCACACTCGGCAAACATGTCGGAGCCAGAGAGTTTGCTGAAGAAAGAACTGTGTCTGAGTGCACACAGCCCACCTTGCTCTCAGCTACCCACGCCAGGCCCTTGTGAAGCCTCAGCTCCTCCAGGTGCACAGGCACCCACGTGGGCGCAGCATGCAAAGGACCACCGGCAGAACGCATTGTCTTAAAAAGGCACGCACATCTAGCTTTTTTTTGTTGCTGTTTAATGATTTTTGTTCTTATTTCATTTTCCCCCCTCTTACGGAATTGGGATACGGTGCTATTGGCAGAGTACTTGCCTAGCCCTGGTTTTGATCCCCTGCACCACATAATAGGGTGTGGTAATGTATCCCTGTAATCTCAGCCCTTGGGAAACAGAGGCAAGAGAACAGGGGTTCAAAGTCATCCTCAGCTTCAAACTCAGTTGGGGGCCAGCGTGGGATCCATGAGACTCTCTCCCCAAACAAAGTCAGACAATTGCTTTCCTATTAGCTCTCTGACCCCTCTTGGTCTGTTGCCTTTTCAGTGTAGTCTATGGGGAGAGAATACACCGGGACTGTTCATAGCTCAGTGGTACATACAGGCTTTACTCATGTCCTTCGGCTTCCACACTCAGTACTGAGGACGAAGAAGAAAAGGCAAACTTTGAGTGAGTGATATATGTGTCTCCTCTGGGAAGCTGAGGCAGGGGTGTGGCTAGCACAATGCTAACCCCAAGGCCCTCTCAGGGTTTTTCTTCCCAGCCATGCTCACTTTCATGGGCTTTGGCAGTTTGCTGAAGCCTCTCTGTCTGGCCTGAAGTCCATGCACATGACTATTGTGTTTGCAGGTGTGTTAAATGGAAACTTACTTACACAGCCTGGTGGTGGACTAGGATTGACCCATGACTTGTCTGTGCCCTGTGTTCTCAGTATTTCAGAATTTTTTTTAGTAAACTCTGCATTGCCTTGTATATGGGTCGATTTTACTAAACTCTTCGTGGGCCTTTTGTGTGTGTGTGTGTGTGTGTGTGTGTGTGTGTGTGTGTGTGTGTGTGAGTGTGTGCTTGCGTTGTCTCTTGCTTTGGAGTGCAGCGATGAAGTCCAAGGCCTGACATGCTGGTAAAGCACCACTGTGTCACACCCTAACCCCACACCTCAGCATGCTAGGCAAGCCCTTGACCCCTGACATTCATCCCAGTCCCCCATCGTGGCTTTGCTAACACCCTCATTTTCCTTCTTCCTTGAGAGCCTTTTCCAGTTTGAACCTGTTCGCACCATGAATCATGTGGCGCTTCTGATTATGTCCTTCACCCAGAGTGTTTTATAACGCCTCGCCCGGCTTCAGTCTTTCCTGCCTCTCCGTTTCTTACTTGTCTCTGTTCTCGGTTCCCTCTGTGAGGAATGCTCACTGCTTCATCATCTTTGAAACATACACCATAGCCGAGCACACTGGCACTGCCCGTAACCCTTCACCCTGCAAGCTGAGGCAGGAAGATTGGGAGGTTGATTGCCCGAGTCCCCCGCTCCGCCCATTATGATACAAGACCTTGTCTTAAAAACCAACCAACCAGACAAAAAAACCAAATGAGAAAACAGCCCAGAGGCCCTTTTCTCTCCTGTCCACCAACCTCGCTCTCTACCCCATATTTTCACTAAGACCCCACAGGACACAGCTCTAGGGGCTTGAAGAATGGGGAGGCCAGTGTCTTACCTGCCAATGGCAGTATTATTCTGATTGATTTCATTTCGGGGAGGTGTGTGTGTGTGTGTGTGTGTGTGTGTGTGTGTGTGTGTGTGTGTGTGTGTTTCAAATGTTTTCCAAGGAGTTAGACTAAGACTAGCCACCTAGACAGGTGAGTGATCAGAAGAGCAGCCAGACTCTTTAGAAGGCCTTTCTGGGATGAATTATGATGTTTTAGGATCATGGTACTAATAAGGGCAACCTCTCAACTGCTGCCTACACTTCTTGTTCAGCACGGCCTCTTCAGAGATCATATGCATGATCCAAATGGCCCTTGGTCCTTAAACTGTGCTGTTTAATTCCAGTGAAACAACCAAGAACTCAGTCCCTCAGTCCCTAGGGGCATTTCATGTGCTCAGGAGTCCCAGCTAGTGGCCACCGTGTTAGCAGATCAACGCAGACATAAGACACCACGGCTCACAGTTCTGCCAGGGTCAGGCTAATGCGTGAAGAGGCAGTGTTGGGAGGCAGGCACTGAGTGGTCTGTATGAAACTTAGCTTTGCCATCTCCCTGCTGTTCTGACCCAAGGCAGCCAAGTCTCCTACTCTCTGCGAGCTTAACGCTCTCTCCTATGCAATGCAGACTAAACTAATACACCTCAGATGCTGTTGGCACATAAACAAATGGTATGATATAACTTAGGACATTGTTTATGATATAGCACAACTTTGAAAATGCCAGTGTGGGTCCTACCAGGAGAAAGTACAGCCAGGAGCATACCGTCTGCTCCTCTCCAGAGTGTGGGACATAGGCCTAGAGAACTTTATCAGGGTAGAAGTCTGCAGCAGGAGTTTCTGTGCATGTCTGCTCAGGACAGTATATTCAGTGCTGAGACGGTCCTTGTGAATGGAGTCTCAAATTTATGACCTCTCATCTTAACCTTTTCCAGTTTTACTGTGGTGCAGGCTGTACTTGCAATTTTGAATTTTGATCTTTTTCTGGACTAGCAATGTCCAGTAAGATACTTTCCTGAGACAGGACTTTGCTGTGCAGCCCAGGATGGTCTGAGCTCCTAATCCTCCTGCCGGTACCTTCCAAGTTCTGGGATGACGGGTAGGTTCCCCATGTTGGGCTGCGGCACACTCTCTTCCTATGCAGGACAGTAGTGGCATGTCACAGCTTTCCATTGGCTACAGATCACGAGGGAAACACTTGAGCCTCTGCCTTGTGCTGTTGCTAAGCTGTGATGATGGCAGTGTGAAGTGTATCCTTGATACACTATTTTCAGCTTCTGACAGGCTCATCAGGAGAGAGCTCCACTCAAACTGAGGAATGCCTGCATTGTATGGTCCCTTCTGTTTATAGCACAGACCCCAAGTCAGGATGGCAATGAGAGATTAGAGTCCCCTATACTGCGAGAGGCAGAAAACAGATTACAACTTTCTACAGGTGTGTTCGGTCTCGGGAACTTAACACCAATTATGGTTAATTAAATGACCATGGTTTTATGTAGGATAGAAGATTACCGTAATTTTTCTATCTCATTTCTCTGTCCACTCATCCACCGTCCGTCCAGTCCACTTACTCATTGATCTGGACATCTCATCTGTCTTTTCATTCATTTGCCTGACTGTGATGACTGCTCTGTTGTCAACTGGACTACACCTGAAATTAACTGAAACACATGTGACTGGGTTCACCTGGGGGACATTGTTTTCTCAATGAGATAATTTGAAATGGGAAGACCTGCTTTTAATCCAGATACTTTTAGGTGGAAAACCCACCCTTAATCTGGCCCTCACTTTCTGCTGGCAGCCCCAGTAAAGCACATGGAAGGTGGAGGCCTGCTCCCTTCGGCTGCTTGTCTTCACTCTCCCTAGCAAGTCTATTTCTTCACTGGCATTAGAGCCTACTTCTTCGGATTTTTATGTGTACTGTAGATCAACTGAGACATCCAGCCTTGTGGACTGAATAAATGCTGGATTCTTGGAGCTTCACTTGATTGTTGGACTTGTGGAACCACAGCCTATAAACCAACACACACACACACACACACACACACACACACACACACACACACACACAGTTCCTCTAGACAACCCTGACTAATACACTTGATATTCACCCACCACCTTATAATCCATTTACCTACCCACCAAGCTATCTACCCATCCACCCATCCATCCACGTACCAGCCCATCATTTTCCCATAATCTAACCACCATGGATGAGCAAAGTGGCTTTTAGGAGGACAGCATGTAAGGCTGGCCCCAAGATGTCTCAGATCACACTTTTCCTTGTTCTAGAATCCTTAAAAGGGACTTTCTGAAAAGATATAGAGGCAGAAGCAAGGCTAAAGGCATTGGTCCCGGGGATTTAGTTAAACAAGATTGGTAAGTCAGGCCATGATGGAAAGGGCCCATAAGATCTAGCAGAGCGCTCCGGGGTCTACACTAATGAAGTCAGTTCTGTGGACAACACCAAAGATTCTGAGTAGAGGAAGACAAAGACACTAAGGATTTCTTCATACACTCCTAGGTACAAATACTTCAGAGAAGACTACAAAGGGAATAAAGCTTAGATTCATTCTAGTGTCAGACACAGAAAAGGGCAAATAAAAAAAAATCTCAAGGTGACTGAGTGGGAACGGTTAGAAAACAATGTCAGGGAGAAATTCCTGAGGAAGTTCTGTCGGGGAGATGATGATAGTCATGTCACACACATACATGGAATGTTAACAGAACACATTCTTCTGAAGAAAAATGTCTCTGTCTCTGTCTCTGTCTCTGTCTATCTCTGTCTTTGTCTCTGTCTCTGTCTCTGCCTCTGTATCTGTCTCTGTCTCTATCCCTCTCAGACTACAGGGTATAAAGCAACCTTCCTTATCTGCCTGGGGCTAGAGCTTGGAAACCTTTGCAAGGACAGTGCTAGGCTTCTATAGTTAGCTTGGGGCCTGTGGCGGCTTGAGTACAAATGGCCCCATAGGTTTGTGTATTTGAATACTTAGTCATCAGGCCCTTGTTGGAGGAAGTGTGTCACTGGGGTTTCAGTGGGGATTTCAGGTTTCAAAAGCCCAAGCCAGGCCCAGCATCTCTCTTTTCCTGCTGTGATTGGATCTGGATGGAGAACTCTCAGCGACCTCTTCAGCACGTACTTGCCTATATGCGTCGTGCTCCCCACCGCGATGACAACCCACTAAACCTCTGAAAAGGACAGCAAGCCCAGTCAAACACTTGCTTTTATAGGAGTTGCTGAAGTCATGGTGTCTCTTCAGAGCATTACAGCACTGGCTGAGATAGGGCCTTTTTCCAGTGTGTGTGTGTGCGTGCGCGCGCGCGTGTGCGTGTGCACGTACACATGTATACAGGAGCCTGAAGAGGTCAGAAGAGAGTATCAGATTCCTTGGAGTTGACTTACAGGTGGTTATGAGCTGCTCTGTGGGTGCCAGGAACTGAACCCTGGTCCTCTGCAAGACCAGTAACTGTTCTTAATGACTGAGCCATCTCTCTAGTACACGTTGCTTGATTTTGAACTAGTGAAGCTTCAACAATGATTGGCAAAGTCACCTCAGAAGGTAAAAGCTCTGAAATGTAAAGACAAATATAGGCGGAGCAAGAGAAAGAAAGAGCAGGAGTAATGCGAGCCACTCACTTCTGTTTTAGCAGAGTGTGAAGGCGAATTGTCAGAGCCAAGGCAAGCATTCTGGAAAGCTCTGCAGTGCACAGCTAGGGCTGCCTAATGAAATTTCTAGGGCCAGGGTCCAGAAGTTTCCGATGAAGGGACACAAGCATTTCCCCTGTACACTGCAGCACCAGCCCTTTCATCTGGGGATTGTCACTTAGTGACCTCCATGAGGACATAGTGAGTTAGGCGTATAGAACTGAGACTCAGACAGCATCTTCCAGTCTAGTGCTTGAACAAGTTTGACTTTGGGCTTCCTTCAGAATCCAGCAACAATTCCACTGAGGGAAACAGCCTTCACCCAGAGTATTGACAGTTCAGGGCACATGTCCCAAAGCAGTGTCTTGGCATTCGAAAGGCCAGAGGAAGCAAGATGTTCCATCTCACCTTCCGTTCACTTTTCTCCCAGAGGCGGGTCATGAGACAGTCATCTGGAAATGCTTTCTGTATACCTGGAGGAAGGGAACTGAAGATACAGGGATAAAGAGAAGAATCTGAATGAACCAGCTGCACAGAATTCTTCTGGAACAGCCCCAGAGGAGCAGACTGTGTGACACACCCCAGTGTGACACACTTCATGCTCGACCAGGTCTAAGCCACAGGTGGCAAGACCCCAAACCTAG